GCATGTCTTGAACAAACTGTGAATTTTTTTTGCGGAAAATGGTCATCATTTAAAAACATTGTATCATCATCTACCACAGGAAGGTGAAAGTGAAAACCAGAAAACATATTGTTAAATTTAAATTTTAGTTTGCAATTAACGTGTTTGCTACTTGAATCTGAAAATTATGTTCTTTCATAATTTTATTTTCTCTGTTTGCCAATTAGTTATTTAAATGACTTACAAATTAACGCAAGCACCTGTAATTATGTTCACATTGAATTCCTATCTAATTTCTACATCACATTCCATGGTAAATTTTAATTGATCCTTTCTGAGACCTCTGGAAAGTTTATTCAATTTCAAACATATAAATGGGCGCGAGCCTCTAGGTTACCACTTTTGCGGTTTCACAAAACATACAAGACCTGATATGAATAACCAAATTTGACAGACCTGTATCATTCTACACTGAATATTCATAATTTCTGGAGTAGTACGTTATTCACAATAATTTATTCTGTTATTTTTGTATTAATATTCATCCATCAAATCAGTGTTTGATTATTTCTCCCGGCATACAAACAGAAAATCATAGTCTTTATATCACAGTGCTTGTAATCTTGAACTTAAATTTCACGTAGAAATAGAGCTAACTGACAATATGGTAGTGATTATCATGCAAATCAGGTAATCAGACAAAACCTAATCAAATCTGTGCATTTTAAGTAAAAATGTGTGCATATTAATCAACTAATTTGCATAATTAGCCGAATTGAATATTATACATCATGTTTATCATACCGACATATTTATGGGTTTGATCCACCAGGATACCGAAAATGGAAATAAAAATGGGGTCATCTGACAATTGTCAGATCTAGCATTTTTACACTGCTTTCAATGTTGAGATTATTTTCTTCATATTTCTAAGTTTTGCTTGGTGGGATGATACTTAAAAATTTACATAAATTAGTGAGTTTTCAGTGTAATAATAGTTTTTAAATGAGTAAATTGTGATTCAGCTAATTCATATTTATCAGAGTAACTGCTATATTGATTTGGGACCCGGGTACAGTGCACAAACTCCTCGGCTGAACAGTTCTGTGTGTGTGAACAACTTATTTGGAACACCCATGAACTAGTGTCATATTAGTGACAAGTATTTGCCACATAGAAGGAAATACATGAAGTTAAATTGTACAATATTGGTGGAATGGCCGTAGCTGCATAGGAATGAATAATTTAAACTCATTTGCATGAAAGAAACTTTGGGGTATAGGGAGCAAGCATTGCTTGAATCGCAGAATTTATTGTCGGAAAAGCCTTTATTCGTCTAACACCAATCTGGGCTAAAGAGAATGAACTTTGCATGCTCGTGTTAAAACGTAATCTGATCCTACACCTCTCCTTCGTTTGCACGGATCATTTAATTTCACTCTTCTTTCTTTTGCCACCAATCTGTCATAGTCATGTATCAGCACTACTGACAAATCACAATGAATATGAAAAGCAAATTCCTGAGAACGATGTTTTTTTTTTCAAGTCTCCTAATTGAATGTCTGGAAAATTGTTTTTCTCAGGAAATTTAAAAAGTAATCGGCCAGACATAGAAACGATCACGTTGCCTACTG